ACGAAGAGTAGGCAAAGCTACGTAATAAGCATCATTCCCATGGTCGCTGAACGATGGCGTTCCAGAATATTATATGCAATGAATGAATGAATGAATGAATGAATGAATGAATGAATGAATGAATGAATGAATGAATGTCTTTCAAGAAACACGACCTGTGTTCGAGAACAAGGAGAGAGAGATGGAGGGAGAGAGGGACTATAAAAATGTCAATGAATCATTAAGAAAGATACAAGTTCCGGATATCCCTAACACGCAGGAACAAAGTTGTTTAGGCCTTAACTGAAGCGCAATTCAGGTCACTGAGGTCCTTGCACTACTCATTTCTTTCACTTTCTGCTCCAGTTCTCCTTCAGCTCTTTCGTTCATCTTCATACTACCCTTTTTCATTCCCCCAGCGTAGGGTAGCAAATAGCGCATGTGCCTGGTTAACCTCCCCGCCTTCTCTCTTGCTATTTTTCTTCCCTACACCTTCTGACCCCAGTTACCTCAAGCAGTAGTTGAAGACAACCTAGTTTATGGCACCGCTATTCAAGCTAGGCTTTAATTGGCTCGTGAGTCTCCGAACGTCCAAACAGACCCTGTGCTGGCTATTCTGTGCCGGGTCACTGACACAGTTTGGAGGGTGGTCTGTGGAATCCGGTGCATGGGCAGCGGTCGTCAAAAATAAATCGTTCCCGCTTACGTTTTGGATTTTAAGCGGTTATTCATAGCGCCTCAGGAACAGTTCGCCATGGATCAGAGCTACTTGCCCTCACCATGTCTGTCACCTCATTGTTGCTCGCCCACCTACAATTCGCGAATTGTAAACGTGAACTGGCTGGTCTGGCAGGAGGCCAACATTTTACGACCTGCCTCGGTTCACTTTCAATATACACGCCTGTCTTCCTGCGTAAACGCGTGGCTCTTGACCCTGCAAACCTGGGTAATTCATCTCCTGTAAAAAACAAGACCAGCCGACTGGGTGTCCGAGGAAAATATTTAGCGTTTGGAGCATGTCTAATGATACTCGTACGGTGTTTTTTGAACAGACATGCCAGACGCTTTCATGAAGAATAAAATGTAACACTAATCTCGGCCACAATCAGCCCTGTTTCGCCATATTCTATACGAGTATATTGAAAACATAGCACTAACGTTGACTTGAGAAGATCATTTGCTAGCCAAGAGCGCACATGTTTTGCTACGCTTTCTGGCGAGTCTTATTTGTCTTTACAGAATTGTCAAGCCCTGCATGGCTGTCAATGCTGCACGTAGGGAAGGCAGATAGAAAGACAAAAAATTGCCTAAGCTGGTACGGGCGTGGGATAGGTACACGGAAAACTGCGTACGAAATTGCAGCGGGGAGCTTTCTTAGTACCTATTAGTTGAGACCCCATACTTTCAGAACTTCAGCACCCCTACAGCCTCCTTGTAGCATATCCATTGGGACAATAAATAGGACAGTGAAACTTTCTATTTCTATAGTTCATGAATGTCCGGCATATTGGTCTCTACGCATGTTGCTCACCCTGGAAGGAAGTGTGGGCCGTCATAAAGAAAATCAGCGAATTTCTATTCACATGTCCATGTGTTACACGCTGGTCTGCCATTTTATTGAAGTCATAAATGTCAATAAGACGCTGACTGCGTCGAACGTCTGTTTAGATCAAGAGCTATATAGTACATACTGTCCATTTCACTTCAACATTTGCTTGGTTTCAATTCCTGGTGCGTTTTCTAAGGTGATGCGTAGCAATAGTGGTTGCTTGGGCATGTTCGTACGACATATTGGAAGGGAAACAGCGCGAAAGGTGAAAGACCAGGCGGAGATACGAAGCCAACCGGAGGACCATCTGGCTAACTTTCCTGGCTATTTCCCTCCTCGCTTTTCCCTCTCTTTATTTCGACCATGATATGCTGAACAAAGATTAGACGTGGCGAAAAGAGTTGCTTTCCACCGGGCCAGTGCTATTTGAGAATTTGTCAGGCATAGCATAGCTGATTGTTTCACGAGTGCGCTTTGCCTGCGACTATTATTCGATTGCGAAATCTTAAATCCCGTTTATCTTCTACATATCTGCCACAAAGGATTCACAGTCGACTAAACGTTGTTTCTGACGTGATGTGTTAAGATGTCCCCATAGAAGGGGCATGCACTGACGTCATCGAGGCCACCACTTTTTCATATAGGCGGTTTCAAGATTGCAAGCGTAGTACCCCAAAAAACTTCCGGTCGCCGTATTGACCAGCTCCAAACTTCGAAACTAAAAGCACGTTCTCGAGTTTTTTTTTTTTTTTCAAGGGTAAGAAAAGTCTCTTTTTGTTTTTTCAGATATAAGGAACGTGCTTAAAGATCGAAGGAATTTTTGTCATTTTTATGTAGCTCAAAAAAAAAAACATATATTTGATTATATCTTGCCAAGTATGCGAAGGAAAGCGTAGAAATTGAGCGGGCTATTTTCTAAAGCTCTTCTTGCCCACCGATGCTAATAAGGCACATTGGTGGAAGACACCGGATGTCATCAAGGGTCTATAGACAGCACACTGGAAAGCTGCACGCGCTTCATATCAATCTGACACTTCTAGAAGAACAGGGCGGGCCGCCCGTGCATCGTACAAGAAAACGGCGTTAGCTCACGTCGCAGGCATACTTCTTATATACAGAGAGGCGTCACCGGTCGATCTATGTTGCAGCGGTCACGTGTAGCGGAGCCGCATATACGCGGTTTGTCTCGGCGGCGAGTCCTTTTGGTCCTCTCCGGCGTCAAACATAAGCAAGCAGGCGAGCTCTAGAGCATGGTTGGTGCCCGTTACGCAAGCGCACAGAAGAACGCCCCTTCGTTCAACACTTCTCCAGCGGTACAAGGCAGCACGCCGCAAGAAGGTCAGCTGGTGGCACTGCCTTAGCAGTGGCGGCTCGCGAGCACTCCGTACTCGAGGTTCAAGGAAAACAAACACATCAGAAAGGCTTTTTTGTCCTGCTTATACTGCACCCGGCAGGCCGGGAACAGAATTTTTGTTTTCTTGCTTCGTTTTTGTTTTGATTTGTCTGAGACAGTGGAGCTGGAATCGTGGGAATTTCGTCAGCAGGTCCTTTCCAGTGATTGCGGATATAGAAGCGTATATGTGAGATTTCATGACCCTGACTTCCGAACCGGAAACCCACGTGTTTACATTAAAATTTATGGTGAGATTTATTTTTTCTTGAAAGCCAACACTATGGTAACCAGGGGATAGTTACTACACTCAAAGCTCGAACCTTGCTGTTACTGAAGGATGGCTTTGCGAGTCTGTTTCCAGCGTTGTGTTTGCAACGAGGATGCAGGCAGTGGCGGCGGTGACCATCCTGCCCCAACGTAGCGCAATAAAGTGTGCGATAACATGGAATTAAATATATGCCTCGCGCTTGGGAAAAGCTATACAGTTAGTTATAGTGATGTCATTATAGAAACGTTAGAGGGCTGTTTGAGGTTTCCGTGACGCAGTCTGCTTAAAACATAATTTAAAGTATGTCATTGCCTTATATAACAGTGTAATTCATTAGCGTAATTAATTCATAATTGCATCGAGCAAGCGGTTACGGCTTTGTTCGGAAAAAGCCCCTTTACTTCGCCTCATGAAGTAGATTCCTTAAAAAAAACACTCGGCGGCTTCAGTACTATATTACAAAAACGTACATTTTGATACTTTGTTCACTTTTTGTTTCATTTCGACGAGTAATGTGTGAATGTCTTGTTTACGGCAGCCTCGTGACATTTCACGTACATACAATCTCGGCCAAAAGTTCCCAAGCCACGCTTCCATAAAAGTACATTGGATAATGGCCTAAGAATGTTTGACATCCTCCCCTCCCCACTGTACGCATGACTGTGACATGGAGTGTTCCGAGTCTAATAGTCTAACGTTTCACATAGTGGCACTGACGTTCATATTTCATTAGATTGCTTTTATTGAGGTCAGCGTCTTGTTTTATTGTCTTCAGTGTAGTGGTTTAAAGTAAAGAACCAGTCTGCTACATTCATGTCTGCAACACTGGTATTTAAGACACAAACAATTCCTTTAACAGCGAGGCTCAGTTCTTGAAAATCTGTGTGACAGTGACCATTTCACACATGATCCAAGAAGTAAGGAAACATGGAATTCGAAAGAAATTTTATAGTAATTGCCGCTCACGATTGAAGCAGCGCCAAAAGTTCCAGTGACAAAAAAAAGCAGTTTTATTTAAAATCTAATTTTCATTCTGTGCGCAGCATTTGTATTGGTAATGTGAAAGTTGTTAACTACTAATCTTCTAAGTATCGCGAGATGAACAGGCTTCCCTTAGGCTAAGACAGACATAAGGCACCTATACTTTTTTCTGGGCAATAATGGGAAATCGCATCTGTAAATTACAGTGTTCTCGAGATTTACGAGACATGCATAGGTCTTTTACAATGCGCAAATACGCTTCAAGTGTACAACGCCACGTTTCATGTACTGGTACGCTACTGATATAATTCGATCATTTAACTTAAGCTTATGTAAAGATGGTATCCGCATTGTCTAATAAAGTTTATTTCGAAGAGTTACCATGAATGAAAATCAAAGAGTTTTTTTTTTTTCAAATGTTTTGCCAGCGATTCAATAGGGGGTTTATTTGGGGGAATATGCGTAATCTAAGCGGGGAACTTGTTTTACCTGTTCTGTGGATAAGTAAAGGACTGCGGGAGCATTTGGCGGTGATTAATTGTAGCTTTCCGAGGCAGTCACCAGTGCATGGAGACGAAATTGCTCCATACCTTCATTAATAATGCGAGCTCCACTGCGCTCGTATAGATTCGCGCTTGAAGGCTCTAAAAATGTATTTTGTTTGACACGGTCGGCTAACTGGAAGTCACGTCAGCCAAACCTTCGTATTTCATGATAAAGGACGCACGTATATGGCACAAATACGCTTATGCACACGCAGGTTGACCGCAAGCTTCACGCGCCTCAAGCATGCTTCTAGTCATGCTAGTAATGCTTCTCTTTATTCTCAGCGCTGTGACCGTCGTTCGAGCAGAGAGGTACATCACGACCGAAACGCTCAACGGTCACGTAAGGGGCGTCATCGAAAACGTCGATGGCGTAGACGTGGAAGCATACTTGGGCATTCCATACGCGGAACCACCCGTTGGGGAGCTGAGGTTCAGAAAACCAGTGCCAGTAAAATCGTGGCACCCGACGACTCTGGACGCACTAAAGTTCGGAAGCCCCTGCGCCCAAGCCAATGGTTCTTTTCCTCCAGTTCCTTGGCTCGTAAACCGAGACCAAGTCAGAGAGGACTGTCTCTACTTGAACGTGTGGAGCCCTCTAAGGAGGCCCAAGCTACTGGGAGTTCTCTTTTGGATTCATGGCGGGGGCTACAGAACTGGAACCACCTCGGAGTCCCTCTACGACGCCAAGACACTGGCGGCTGTGGGAGATATCGTCGTTGTCTCGATCAACTTCAGAGTCGGTTCTTTCGGCTTTCTCTACACTGGTCCGGGGTCATCCAGCGGTAATTACGCTCTCTGGGACCAACACCTCGCCCTCCTCTGGGTGCGGGAGAACATCGGCCTGTTCGGAGGCGACGCTAAACGAGTGACCGTTTACGGCGAAAGCGCCGGTTCGATAGGAATCGGCGCGCTGCTCGTCGCTCCTTGCAACGCCGGTCTCATTCACCGTGCCATCATGTCCAGCGGAAGCAACTACTGGCTGGTTCCGCCGCAGAATGTCGTCGGCCACACGTACACCGACCGAATCGCTAAGTACGTTGGATGCCTGGACCCGTCGAAGCCGTCGTCGAAGACTCATCCAAAGGAGGTCGTAGAATGTCTTCGCAGGGTGCCCGTCTCGAAGATCATTGATGCCGAGGAAACCCAGTTTTCTCTAGACCTGGTAACATTCACTCCTTCCCACGGAGACGACTTCCTACCGGTGCCGGAGCTGGAAGCCATTGCTCGGGGGCTGTTCATTCCTCTGGAAAGCATTCTTGCGGGAAGCATGGCGCAGGAAGGCAGCATGTTCATCTACTTCCGGGGTCCGTCCTTCGCTAAGGTCACGTCCGGACCCAAACTTTCGAAGCAAGAGGCAGCTGACTTCGCAGCGCGCCACTACTTTAGCTTCTTGCCCAAGGCGACACAGTCAATGATCACCAGCAGCTACATGCGTCGCGTACCTGGCGTCAATGACTGGGCAGGGAACCTTCGAGCGCTGATGGACACACTAGGCGATTTTCTCATCTTCTGTCCGACAAAATTCTACGCCGAAGCGTTTGCCAAAATGAACCATCCCGTCTACTTCTATGTGTTCGACTACCCAAACAAGCGCGGTCTCTGGCCTCCCTGGATGGGTGCGACACATTTCGAGGACCTCCAATTCACGTTCGGAATGCCTTTCCGCTTTCCCGAGCGCTACTCGGACGCTGACCGCGATCAGAGCAAAGCCTGCATGGAAGTGATAGGTTCTTACGTCAACACTGGGTAAGCTCACTCCGCATTTCTTGGTTTTCACACCTCTTGCTTTCTGGTTGTGTTTCGTGAACACCTTTATTTCAATCAAGCTAATATCTTTCGCCATGACAAGTGTGTTCAGTTGGCGACTGCGACGCACCATGCTTAGCCTAATATGAGAAGTTTGCAAGCGATATACATAGGTAACGCTGCAGTGCATATGTGGCAGGCTCTGTCCTACAAGGTTCTAACCATATTATATAAAGCATTCATTGCAGCAGAGTCAATGTCAAGTTTATCAGCTATAGTTAAACATAATATAATTGAGGCAATGTCATTTGAGGCATGGTAATTCGTTAATTATCTTAATTTAAAATATTTATTCGCAATACTTGAATAAACATTGATTGATTTGACTGATACATGGGGTTTAACGTCCCAAAACCACCATATGATTATGAGAGACACCGCAGTGGAGGAATCCGGAAATTTCGACCTCCTGGGGTTCTTTAACGTGCACCCAAATTGAATAAACATTGACCACATATATCGTTTTGCGTTACATAACGTTAAATGTAACTGAGATTTCGCCTTCTTCCTTCCTCGTGGCATACGAATATGAGCCTATATAGTAAGAAGAGGTGTCACTATAACGTTGTCGACTAAAAAATAAATGAATCAGGTAGCATTCTATTCAGCAGAACTGGCTCCCAGCTGTTTTATGTCAACTGTGAACCTCGTCAGAACCAGTGCCACGTGCTGTATAAGTCAAGAGAAAAACGCGGAAGCTCTGCAGAAACTCTACAACCTCACGTGTTCTACTCAACTCACGCCTGCGCGAAGACGTTCGTCTGACGCTCTGCTTACTCGGGTCGTAAATCAACACAGCTTAACGTTTACGTATGGCTTACCGCAAAAAACAGTAAACCTAGCTCAATCCGTGCCTTTGAGGTACTAAAAACGTTACTACCACCGTGAACTTCACACCTGCTAGGGTATCCTTCGTTGTTCGAAAAAATCAGGCGAAGGTCTTGTTTTGGGGCCCAAAATTTGAATGCACCAGTCACTGGCTGACGGCACGAGAAGAGTGAGCATGGTGCAGCTCTCGCTGTTAACCACAGGAATAGAAACCGCCGCTGAACAATCCTTTGTTAGACCGACCGCAGGCCACCGTTTGTTTGGCGCTGACGAAAACGCGCCAAACAGGCTGCGGACGAGCACGAAACGAAGCATTTGCTTCATCGACACGAGGTCGTGGAACCATTCCAGGCCTGACTCTGCGTTTCGGATGTTATCACTCCGGGGGAACAAACACTCGCACTGCTTTTGCTGTATATAGATCCTGCTGGAGGGCCTACTTGGGCGTCACTTCATGAAGCGAACTTGAATGTCCAGTGGACAACACGTGTTCCGCTTCATTCTGCCTAATCGATCGATACGGTGGCGATGTGAAAGCCTATGTTTCTGCCTTCAGCTCCACTTAAATGCGGTTGCGAGTGCACCCTGCTTTATGAATACAGGGCACTTAAGCTGAATCGGGACAGATTACTTATTGCTTCTCTTTATCAACACCAGAGCAAAAAAGGGTGCCCGTGGTCAAAAGCAAAGTAGGCGCTCGCCAAGAACCGCTCTAATTGGCCATAATGAAAGCATTAGAGCGAGTGGACCGTGGCCTGTTTATGGCAGTGTGTATAGAAGCGATGCAGTTAATTGTGCCCGTGTAACTGTTACTTTTGTGAACGTCTGAGCGCTGAAGCGATATGCATGCTTCCCTGTGCGTAATGCAGGATTTATGGCTCTGAGACGAAACCAGGATTTCCTTGAGCCAAATTTCGCAGTTTGAAACACGCTGAGCGCCTTTTCGCCGTATAGACGCACGAACAAAGGCCTGGAAGTCGGTTGTGTTATCACGGACCGGTCCACACATATACTGAAGTTTTTCACTGCGTGTCGACACCTTGTTTCAAACAGTATATGTGACAACCCCGAAGCTTTGGTCGTGAACATCAACCGTTTTGGGTTGATGTTCACGACCAAACTCATATGTGGAAAATCTCATATGTGGAAAAGGTACTAAACGTTAATGAACGATCAATCGCTCAAGTGCTACAGAATGATGTCTTGAGCGAAGTCCCGCTGGAATGATGCGACAAGATTCCGTAAACGCTGCGTGAAAACGTTCTAATCTCATGCTTGTATCAATATTAACGCTTGCAGAAAAGCAACACCATTTATCAGCATACCACGTGTGCTAACACCATCATCACATATATCTTGGTTGAATCTGTGGCACACAACGTGTTGTTTGATACACATATTACTTAATTGTAACTTTCCCACAACAGACAAACGGCCACACATAATGCGCAAGTGATGTCTCTGCGCAGCGAATAAAAGTGGGGTGCTGGGCGGAAACCTGCCAAGTTTCCCGGATTGGCCGGGAGACTCTTGGATTTCGACTGTTTCTTCCGTTTGTACGGTTGTCATGAAAATCTCCCTGAAATCGAAATTTCTGTGCATGATCTGGCCGCATTGGCAAAGAAGCAGCTCAATTTATTCCAGGCCTTTCGAACCTACCCCATTTTATTATAAATGAGTTTAAGAGGCGTTCATCTGAACATACAATAGAATATCAGTGATTCGAAAACGCGGCAGATACGAATTTGTGAAAATCTCCGGCCAAATTCCACTATGTCCATTGGGCCTAAATTTCAATGCTACAAACACATTTCCTACTTGAAGTGGGTGATATGAACTTTAGTACGGAAACTGTCGAACGAAGGCCGAGAGCAGCATACTCGTAGCTTTGGAAGTACGCGTGCAACCGGCGTACGTACTGTCCTCTACAGTGCGTGTGATTGTCGTTGCCACAACTGCTGTGGACGAAACCGCGGTCGCTGTTGACACGATCATGTGTGGCGACGACGTAACTGACAGAACCCCGAAAGTCTGTGCTCAACCAGTCAAATCGACGCTGCTTTCCTCAAACTCTGCGGACAGAACTGCGGCAGATGCGATCTTGGATCACATAAAACGATTTGGTTTTGGCACCTGCGCATCCAAGCGCACGAGGTTTGTAAAAGGAACTACCGTTTTCCGCAACCACCACGGACAAAACCACGGTCGCGGCAACGCGATAGCGGTGTGCTATAGCTCTGATGGCGCGCAGTGGTAGGTTAAAGGCCTAAATACATAAAAAACAATAACAAAAGTCGCGTAATAGCGTAATAGCGAAGAAATGAATGTGACAGCAACAACTTTATCGTAATAGCGAAGAAATGAATGTGACAGCAACAACTTGGAGTGGCATGTTGAGAACGGCAACCAGATCGTAACGTGCAGCGTGCTTCTCTCGCACAGATGACGCACGAAAACGATACACACAGGACAAGAGAAAACTAACAACGTTTACCGCTCGGCACGTAACGCACTTTTTAAACATAAACGATGCACGATACGTAATCACAGGTACTATGGGTACAAACTAACAAGTGTCCCAGTTGTTATACCTTGCTGTGTATGAAAAGCGTGCTCTTTTTGGAAACGGGGCCTGTGCAGAGACCAAAGTGACCTTTGTGGGCCCGGCAGCTAACGCAGTCGTTACGGTAAAAGCCAAAGGCACACGATTCTCCCCACCAAAGGATAAGCGCGTGCGCACAAGCATCTAAATCTCCCCCCCCCCCCTCCAATCCGTGGGGCAAAGTACGCATGAAAGATAAGCACGCATCGTGGTGAGCTGGTTTATTTTTCTTACTTGAGTGTTTATATATGTATATAGATACGCATACATACGGTGAATGAAGACGACGACGGCAAGAAAACAAGCCTAAACGGTCCATATAATTGCTATCATAATGAATAAAAAGGGCCAGACGCATTTTGGCATCCCTGTCATAAGTAAGAATCTAGAAGTGAGCAAAAATTTGACCTGTGCTTTTGTGGCAGCCAGCTGCGCCATCCCGTTCGTTCATGTGTGTCTTGGGAAGACATAAGCGAGTTGTTTCGACGGATACAGATTCTGTTAGTTGTGTTCATCCTTTGAGACTTTCACGTTAGTGGGAAACCCTATTTTCGTGTGTTCGGCCACTCCGAGCCACCATAAAACTGCAACGCTGATGGTGGTGCTTGCGATTGAAACCCCCCCCCCCCCCTTCTTTTTTGCGACGTTTGTTTGTTTGTCTTCCGGCGTTTTTTTTTTTTTGTGCTGGAAAAAACAAGAGGTAAGTAATTCAGCCTCCCCCGCTACCTTTTGCGGGATTCTCCGGCATTCAGAATCCTTGAACTTGGCAGGCATGCAGCAAGTAAATAGCTCTTTTTTTTTAATTCTCCTGTGGCTTTTCAAACAGGTGGTTGCCGATTTCTCTTTCCCTCTAGTGAGACTTGCTTTATTCTGGTATATGCCCACTGCAACTGCATTTTGTTCAGAGCTTTCTCAGTGTTCAGTCTGCAATGATTTTTCGACTCGGGAAGACAGTCGTACAACCTTCAGTACGAGCAGTACGTATGGATATATATTAGATGTACGATAGTGTATTGTGTTTCATATTGCAAGTCCTGTTCAAGGAAAACACCCGGTTTTTTTTTTCACTAATTCCTAAGCAATGTTGAACTGCGCGCTAAATGGCAAAATATTATTGCAAGAGAGAGAGCCTCATCATCAACGACAAGTCTGCATTGAGTGTCGTATGCAGCAGACACTTCCGCGATGTAGATTATGTGGCTGTGTGCAGCAACAGAAAACTTCTTCCCGACTCTGCGCCCACTCTCTTTGAGGACTCTCTTTCCTACATGAAACCAAGTGTAAAGAAGCCCGCGAAGATCCTGCTTCTCGAGCTTCGCCCCGACGCCAAACATCAAGGAAGCAAAAAGTGGAGACCAATGAACAAGACCTGGATGTTGCGACTTCACAAGATGCTTTCACTGAGCAAGAAGCAGTAAGTGCTTGTACGCAAACAATGAACAGCAATGCTCATCGCGTGTGTCAATACCTGGCTATGATAGAAAGGTTACGCTTTCAAAAGTCGTTGAAACAGAGGAAAAGGCGTTCGCATATTACCGCGAACGCAAGCACCACATGTGTGTTAAGAAAATCGCAACAGATGCACAGAAAGGAGAGAAAACGGCAGTGTTTTTTTTTTATAAAAGAGAATGTTACGGAGCATTCAGCGTACCCAGAAGAAGTTGTTAGGGAGTGCGTGATATGGTGCTTTCTGCCCCCAAAAGGCTACGATCACGCTTGCACTTTGGGGATTCTGACACTGCCGTCAAAGTGCACTTTCGGAGGTGTATAGGTCCGAGCCCAAAATAATCGGGTATTAGCAATGCTATAAAGGACTGTCTGGTTCACGAGGCCTCGCTACTCAGCAGCAAACAACATATGGCCTCATTAAAAATAGATGAAGCTAGCATAAAACAAAAGTGCATCTATGATAGTAAAGGCTGGTGCAGTCTTTGGCCTCAAGGACAAGCCAGAGAGTAGCATGGCGAATACAGCGAAAGAAGCCCTTGCGAACAGAGTCCTCTGCTTTGTGCTGCATGGTACCACTAGTCGGTACAAGATTCCATGCTCGTACTACTTCACGAAGCAACTGAGCGGTAGAGACCTCGTTGCGTGGACGAAGGAGCTCATTGCTGCTGTATAATCATGTGGCTTTATCATCATTCGCATTGTCACGGACAATTATTCAGCAAATGTGGTGATGTTTAAGCACATGGGTAACGGACACCTCTACACAGTTGTTTGCCATCCCCACGTCGCCAACCGCGTTATCTTTCCGAGTTTTGACCCGTGCCACGTGCTCAAAAACGTTAGAAACCAGTTCCTCGAACGTGAACTTACAGATGGCACAAGAGTGATTAGTGGTGCGTTTGTGCAGAAATTATACGAGCATCAAATACACAAGAATGTAAAGTTGGCCCAAAATTTGACAAGGAAATATGTCTACCCTTCCAATTTGGAAAAAATGAATATGCTGCGAGCAGTTCAAGTTTTCGCCCCTCAAGTGTCTGCAGCCGTAGAGCACCTTCAGCAAAATTCCATGAGTGCTGCCAGAGATTTCAAGGGAGCAAGTTCAACCGTTTTCTTCATGAAGTCGATGAAAAAATGGTTTTACATCCAGGACACTTCATTCAATGGAAGCGGCCACATAGCTCCCATTTCTAGGGGCGATGACAATCGCCTACTGTGGCTGACGGATGGGTTTATCTCATATGTGGAAAAAATACAGAAGAGTTCCATCAGATCAGTGAGTGCTGGCTTGACCAAGGAGACGTACGAAGCCTTGCTTGTTACAACAAGATGGACAGTGGAAACAACGGAATTAATCCTGGCGCAAGGCGTCAGTTACGTTCTGACTAAGAAATTGAACATTGACCCTATCGAAGCAATCTTCGGAAGGGTGCGGTCAATGTGCGGCAGGAATGACATGCTGGATGCTAGAGCCGTCACCGCTGCACTGGACTACATTTTGAAGTTGAACATCCCAATACTGAAAAAAAAAATTAAGTTATCAAATGTGGAAGTTCAGGAAGAGGCTGCAATGATGTCGAACATACTTGATAAGGACCTGAGGTCTTTGTTGGAGTACAAGGCTTGTCCCTCTCCATCTGTCACCTTCTCTGGCTTAGCGTACTTCGGCGGTTACTTCGCCAAGCTTATTACAGACCTCGGATGTGACTCTTGCGCTGCGCTGCTGACGACCAACAACAAGTAGCATCAGCTGTACAACCTGCTGCGAGCACAAGAGAGGAATGAACTACACTAGCCGAGGCCAGAGCTTCTAGCTCCTTTGGACAAGATAGTGGTCTCTTTTGATAAGGCCTCTGAACACCTGCCACGCAGAAATGCGCTAAAAGTTTTGCAAACAGCAGTCCAGCCCTACTTGCAATGTGCTCCCATCTCAAGCTGCCCTGAAAGCGTTAAGGACAGCCACTCCCGACGATCCGACGATCTCATAGCCGAAAAATTCATAAACATTCTCCTCGTCAACCACAAAACCCAACTAACTGACGCAAACAACAGGCCTTCCACCTACACACACAAGCCGACTAGGAAGCATTTTAGGCTATTGACAAGACATTTGTGAAGTCTGGCGAAGTTTTTCTCTTGAAAGTGTTTAACTATTGCCAGTGCTTATGAGGAATAAATATTTATTATCAGACCTCACAATGTCTACACGTTTAATGGTGCACAGCTGTACTTTGGGCTCTTTCATTTACACATTTTTCAATAAACTTATAACTTCATGTCTTGCCCGGCTTGGGAATAAATATTACTCGAGCATGTTTACAACTTGGCGTTAGTGTCCCAGACGCCCAATGTTTGTTCATAAGGTTAGTAATTGCCGTAATAGACTTATCGTCTAGGTTACGCAATATTTTGTTGGAAATTTGATCATCTCCTGGGGAAGCCGTTGTATGAATACTATTCAAAACAGCACGTATTTCCGCCTCGGTTATATCTCGATCTAGCTCATAATTAGTATTTCCGGAGTATTCAGGCATTTGTGACGAGTCGACCTGTGTGATGAAGGATCACGTATGGCAAGAACGGTGTGTTTCTGCCTCCTTCCTTCTTGAAATATGGCCGCGAGAATTTTCGAGGTACCCTAAATTACGCAGCCGCTGTTTAATTGCTAGCAAATGACATGACCAAAGCCCATGGTCTGTGTTATCGTACGTTTTAACAAAACTTGAAATCCAGCCAGATGGTGCATTGCTATCGGAAAATTTTTAGCGCAAACTAATGCTTCCTTTTGCACAATTATGTGACACCTGGCTCTTCCTTTGATGTTCAAAATGCAAAAGGTCCGTGGTTCAAATCCCGGTGCCGCGCAGTTCCCAACCGGATTAAAAAAATCTGCGTGTTGGTGGAACTGCATTAAGAGGCCTGGGGTGCGGCCTCACCGGTAACCACCGCCGGGAACGCACTCCCTCACCAGAGAAGAATTGGCCACCTTGGTGCAGTATCTGGCCACTACCTCCCACATGCATACGTCAAATAACTCACGGCCCTCAGTCCCCAGCAGCTGCGAAGCAACTGACCACGGCGGCGGTCAGATCTGCAACGCAGCAGAGGGGGCTAAGAATCTCTGGATCCGGACAGGCCGCCATTGGAACCTGAACTTGGCAACGTTTAATGCTAGAACCTTATCTAGTGAGGGAAGTCTAGCTGTACTATTCGAGGAGCTAGAGGGTGTTAAATGGGATATAATAGGGCTCAGTGAGGTTAGGAGGACAGATGAGGCCTATACTGTGCTACAGAAGGGGCACGTCCTTTGCTATCGGGGCTTGGCAGACAGAAGAGAACTGGGAGTGGGGTTCCTAATTCACAGAAACATAGCTGGCAACATGGATGAATACTATAGCATTAATGAAAGGCTGGTAGGTGTCGTAATTAAACTGAATATAAGATACAAAATGAAGGTAGTGCAGGCTTACGCGCCTACATCCAGCCATGATGACGCTTCAGTTGAAAGCTTTTATGAAGACGTGGAATCGGCAATGAGTAAGGTAAAAACACAGTATACTATAGTGATGGGCGACTTTAATGCAAAGATAGGAAAGAAGCAGGCTGGAGACCAGGCAGTAGGAGATTATGGCATCGGTACTAGAAACGCCAGAGGAGAGCTACAAGTAGAATTCTCAGAACGCAATAATTTACGGATTTTGAATACCTTCTACTGAAAACGAGAAAACCGCAAGTGGACACGGAGGAGCCCTAATGGCGAAAATAAGAACGAAATAGACTTTATAATGAGTGCACACCCAGGAATCGTGCAGGATGTGGAAGTGGTTGGCAAGGTACGATGCAGTGACCATAGAATGGTACGGTCTCGAATTCGCCTAAACTTGAAGAAAGAACGACAGAAACTGATACGCAAGAAGCCAATCAATGAGCTAGCACTGAGAGGGAAAGTACAGGAATTCAGAGTGTCGCTGCAGAACAGGTACTCGGCTCTTAGTGAGGAAACCAACCTTAGCGTAGATGCAATGAATGATAATCTGACGAGTATTATTACGGAGTGTGCAGTGGAAGTTGGAAGCAGGGTAGTTAGACAGGACACTAACAAGCTTTCCCAGGAAACGAAGAACCTAATTAAGAAGCGTCAAATCATGAAAGTGTCAAGTACAACAGACAAAATAGAACTGGCAGAGCTTTCGAAGTTGATTAATAGACGTAAGGTATGCGATGTAAGAAGGTATAACATGGAGAGAATTGAACACGCTCTGAAAAACGGAGGAAGCGTCAAAGCAGTGAAGAGGAAACTTGGGATAGGCAAAAGTCGGATGTATGCACTAAGGGACAAAGAAGGCGAAATAACTACCAATATGGATAGGATAGTTAAAATAGCGGAGGCGTTTTACAGAGATCTGTACAGTAGCGGAGACAATCACGACCTTAATACTATAGGAACTAGCAGTAACCCAGATGACACCCCATCAGCAATGATAGAAGAAGTCAGAAAAGCTTTGGAGAGCATGCAAAGAGGCAAAGCTGCTGGTGAGGATCAGGTAACATCAGATCTGCTGAAAGATGGAGGACAGATTGTGTTAGAAAAACTAGCCACCCTGTTTACGAGGTGTCTCCTGACGGGAAGAGTACCAGAGTCTTGGAAGAACGCTAACATCATCTTAATACATAAGAAAGGAGATGACAAGGACTTGAAGAATTACAGACCGATCAGCTTGCTCTCTGTAGTACAAGCTATTTACAAAGGTAATTGCTAAGAGAGTAAATAAAACATTAGAATTCAATCAACCAAAGGAACAAGCAGGATTTCGAACAGGCTACTCAACAATTGACCACATTCATACTATCAATCAGGTAATAGAAAAATGCTCAGAGTATAACCAACCACTATACATAGCCTTCATAGATTACGAGAAGGCGTTTGATTCAGTAGAAATATCAGCCGTCATGCAGACACTGCGGAATCAGAGCGTAGATGAAGTATATAAAAACATTCTGGAAGAAATCTACAGGGGATCAACTGCTACCATAGTGCTTCATAAAGAAAACAACAGAATACCAATCAAGAAGGGTGTAAGGCAGGGGGACACAATCTCCCCAATGCTATTCACCGCGTGCTTACAGGAGGTTTTCAGAAGCCTAGAATGGGAGCAGTTAGGGATAGGAGTTAATGGAGAATACTTTAGTAACCTGCGCTTCGCTGATGACATTGCATTGCTGAGTAACTCAGGGGACGAATTGCAACTCATGATTACAGAGTTGCAATTGCATGATTACAGAGTTGCATGATTACAGAGAGCAGAAAGGTGGGTCTTAAAATTAATCTGGCTGCGGCGGCTGCATTTCCGATGGAGGCGGAAATGTTGTAGGCCCGTGTGCTCAGATTTGGGCGCACGTTAAAGAACCCCAGGTGGTCAAAATTTCCGGAGCCCTCCACTACGGCGTCTCTCATGATCATATAGTGGTTTTGGGACGTTAAACCCCACAAATAAATCAATTAAAATTAATCTGCAAAAAACGAAAGTAATGTACAACAACCTCGGAGAGGAGCAGCGCTTCGAGATAGGTAATAGCGCACTTGAAGTTGTAAAAGACTATGTCTACTTAGGGCAGGTAATAACAGCAGAGCCGAACCACGAGATTGAAGTAACTAGAAGAATAAGAATGGGGTGAAGCACATTCGGCAAGCACTCTCAAATTATGACAGGTAGATTGCCACTATCCCTCAAGAGGAAGGTATATAACAGCTGTATCTTGCCGGTACTTAGCTACGGAGCAGAAACGTGGAGACTTACAAAGAGGGTTCAGCTTAAATTGAGGGCGACGCAGCGAGCAATGGAAAGAAAAATGGTAAGTGTAACCTTAAGAGACAAGAAGAGAGCAGAGTGGATTAGGAAACAAACGGGGGTTAAGGATATCATAGCTGAAATCAAGAAGAAGAAATGGACATGGGCCGGGCATGTAGCGCGTAGACAGGATAACCGCTGGTCGTTAAGGGTAACTAACTGGATTCCCAGAGAAGGGAAGCGGGTTAAGGGAAGACAGAAGGTTAGGTGGGCAGATGAGATTAAGAAGTTTGCGGGTATAAATTGGCAGCAGCAAGCACAGGACCGGGTTAACTGGCGGAACATGGGAGAGGCCTTTGTCCTGCAGTGGACGTAGTCAGGCTGATGATGATGATGGTGGGCGGTTGGAAGGTAAACACCGTTGAATAAACAGCGTAAGCAAACAGAAAACAAGAATTGAGACAACGCATTGGCTGGGCTGGCTCACAGTTGTCAGCGCTTATGCTGACTGAATCCTGTTTCCTCGTCAGCTTAGCACCAGGTATGCCGTCTGGCTATTTTACTTCCATGACAAATATACCAAAAATGTCGGCTAGACAACCATGTAAGATAAGCAACGCGTACGTCATGCGCTGGGACTCAAACTTGTACAGGTGAATCTAAACGACTTATTTTAGGCCTAGTTGGTACTTGCTTAAATACACGCATATTTTAGCAAGAACAAGCGGCTTGTCGTTGCGTGTTTCTTTACTGAGGGTTTAGGATATTTCGCGGCTAAACTTTGTCAATAAGGATGTAAATTAATAGTGGTGTCGTATACTGCACAAGACTGAAGCACTGTGACGTTGTTTTTTCACTCCCTCTCCCTCTTTCTTAACACCTCCAGCATTCAAAGAGGCCGTTACATGAAAAAATATAGTCACACGATTTGACCAGAAACGTCACAAATGACGTCACACTACCATGGCAAACCTTGAATGAAAATAAAGGTTCTTTCTCACGTTACACAAATATAACTACATATACATACTGCGTGCCAGTGATTGGCCCGTTTAACTGAAAGCCAGCAACCTACGCTGTGCCGCTTCGCGGTAATCACTATTTCTTCATCAACACTACCAGAGTCAGAGTCGAAGGCGACAACTCGCTTCCCCATTTACGTCATATGTGACGTTTCTGCACGGACGGAGTTACTCTGACGGCACTATTTAGGATATGAAATCGTGCTTTACGTATATGTGTAATTGCTCTTCATATAAGAGCATTTTGCAAGTTGCTTACGATACACAGTGAGACTCGTTTGCAGCGGATGCTGCAGCATGTGCCGGGTGTAACGCCAGCGCAGTTTCTTATCACGCTAGCTTAAACTAGTAGCTGAGAGAGCTCACGAAAACCCCAAGGTCTTCGACCTTGGTCCTTGCACTCGAGGTTCTGAACGTGCATCCGTAAATAGCGGTGCGCATGGCCTTTGTCTCGCAGGAGGCCTACGGTGCCCGGAGGTGGCGAGTGGCCCGTGTTCACCAAACAGCAACCACTGCACGTCTTCTGGCGTGCCGTCAATGCGAGCATCGGATCGGACTTCCACGGAGAAGGATGCGACATCTACCGCATGCTGTACAAGCTTCTGGGGGTCCCAGCGCCCTGAGGCGACCTCCGAAGCGAATGCATGCAAATAAATTTGAGTACCTTGGCAATCAGACATACTACTTGCGGCAGAAACGATGCACCCAGAAACAGTTCGACTGATTTACGCAGTTGTACGACTCGTGCTTCGTTTGGCCAATTATGGCTGTCTTATCAAATTATGTCGTTATATAAGGGACAGTATAAGGACATGCATAATCATTCAAAAAATTATCATTGGCTAATTTTCCTTGACGAAGTTAAATGAAAGTTGTGAAATCAGGTATATTACGCTCACTATCTTTTTTTTTCGAAAAGTTCTGGAAAAAGGTTCCTGAGCAGTGAATATTTAAAACAAAATAGTTTTAGGGCTTAGAAAACAGCTTTGAAAATGAAGCCTTCGAGATACCGAGCATGCTAATCGTATATCTGAGTACGCGTAATGCTAACGGTAACAACGTGACTCGAGCAAAACTAAAGTGATCTCAACCAGCTCTACTTGATAATGGCATATCACCATGTTTTCACTTTTGCCTTACATGCATCGCTAGAAAGCCACCCTATAGGTGACATTTGCTTTAGTAGATAACGTAAAATAAAAGAAGCACTTGCACCGAAACTATAAAACTGAAACCTTGATGATCATCAAAGGCCTACCATTATTGAATATTGAATCTAAAGAATAGACTGTTATCAACCTATTGGTGTCGGTGGCTTTAGAGATGAATTGCAACATAATCAAAAGTTGGGCTAGTTGGGCACACGCATGTATTGTTTTTGATTGCCTGCTTATGTATTCTTCTCTTTCCAATAAATCGTTACGAGAAAGCGCTTGTCCTCTCTTTCTGCTTATTCGTGCGCTTGAAGGACAGTTATACCAGGCTTTAGATTTTGATTGATTGATATGTCGGCTTCAACGTCCCAAAATCACCATAGATTATAAGAGACGCCGTGGTAGAGGGCTCTCGGAAATTTTGACCACCTGGGGTTCTTTGACGTGCACCCAAATCTGAGCACACGGGCCTACAGAATTTTCACCACCATCGAAAATGCAAGCCGCCGCAGCTGGGATTCGATCGCGCGACCTGTGGGTCAGCAGCCGAGTACATTAGCCACTAGACTACCGCAGTGGGGCATACCATGCTTTAGAGGTATTGAGGAAAGCTGCCCCAACATGCCTGTAGAGCGGATTTCATGCCTGTAGTGCGGATAGACGTGCCCATTTCTGGGATGAGGTGCTCAAATATAAAGAGATAGAAAACTAAGCCCACATAGATAAATATAGCAAGATAATAAGTGTGAAAAGAAATTCCTGGTTGATCATAACTCTCAATTCCCTCCTTTCGCAATGCCCTTCGGACGTGAAAAATTAGGGATTTCTCTTATCTTTACTGCGCAATATTTTTCTCAGCGTGACGATTGAAACTTGCGGTACTGTGAGTGGTAAACCCTTAATCCCGGTTCTTGACCGATCCCAACAGCAGTTCAGTGGCAAAGATAGGAAGGTTTGCAACACAAGCAGCTCTGTTGCAATTCAGGAAAAGTGCATTGTCCGCAAGGCCCACAGAGGCGTTCTGTGGCAGAGACAGAATACCGGCCCCGCGTCGGCAACAGGCCGAAGTGCACGTAAGGATGCTGCCTTTTCTCAAACCCTTCGGTTCTCGCTTTTACGGCCCTGTGCGAGACGGCTGGCTGTCTCTTATTCAGCGGCATGGCTAGCAAGCAACTTCGTTTACAAAGCCGCTGGTCGGAGTAATCAAGGGGCACGAGAGCATTTTACGACTCCGAGGCGCCGGCGAGCTATAGCGCGCGAGAATGCGCTGCTGCAACCCGAGAGGTCGACTTTCGCAGATCGTTAGGGGCCTCAGCCCGCGAGGAGGAGTCTTCTAGCCAGCGCAAGAGAAACCAGAAGTGGTGTTGCAGCGATAAATGATCTCGTGGTGAGGCACTAATGAGGCCCCTCGGAATAGAATATACATGATGGGTGCTGGTTTCTTTAGATTCGTTTCGATCTATTAAAGACGATAGCAATCATCTGCCGAGTTTTCAAGTAATAAGCGTCTGGAATGCACGTGGTAAATAACTAAAAAGAGAAGAGAGAGAGAAATAAATAAAAGACAGAGACAGGGAGGTTAACCTAAAAGAACTGGTTTGCTGCCCTGTACAGGGGTGGGGAAAAGGGTCGGAAAGAGGGTGGAGATAGAGAGATATAAAAACAAATTAGACAAAAAATTCACATGCGCACACATTCAGGGAGTTCCGATCACAAGTCGTTTGGACAGGCCGGTTGAACGCAAGAAGCGCAGGAGTGCCTTCACAGCCTTCTTCTGCGACATAAAGTCCTGTCGGGAGTGAAGATGACAATAAAAGACAGGACACGATGCGGCGGTCATCGTAAGTACAGCTGTCTGTTGGGCTACTCAACTCATTTATTTTATCTTTCTTAGAAAAGATCTCATGCGTATACGAGTGGTAACAACTGTTCAGCAGAGTGGTATACAAGCGGCCCCAGTTGAATGGAAGCTTGTGCGAACGTCAATTCCCCGTAGCGCATGAGAACTAGTCTACTGCGGATTTCGACATAATCTCGCCGACTGCATAGAGGCTTGTTGTTATGTGTGGTTAACGTCCCAAAACCACCATAAGATAATGAGAGACGCCGTAGCGGAGGGCTCCGGAAATTTTGACCACCTGGGGTTCTTTAACGTGCACCCAAATTGGACCACACGGGCCTACAACATTTTCGCCTCCATCTAAAATGCAGTCGCCGCAGCCGGGACTCGATCCCGCGACCTGCGGGTCAGAAGCCGAGTACCTTGCCACTAGGCCACCGCGGCGGGTTGATTACATAGAGGCGGCATACACGCTTGCGCGTACAACCTGGTCGACTTCACGGAAGCCTATAGTAACGCCTGTTGCAGTGAAAGTTTTCCCTTCATTTGACAAGGACGCGCACGGCAAAATAGATAAAGCAAAATGAATGAACTTGCACGAAAACGTGGACGCATGTCGTTAGTGGGCTAAAGGTCTCTACCGCGTTTGCCCAATGAACCTGTGCCGGCTGCGCTGTCACCACAAACGTTTAATCTCATCGACCCACCCATCTTTCTGCCTTCCCTGCAATCTTCGAAAAACCTGTGAAAGATTGAAACCGCTAATCTATCACATACGATACTCCGTAAGCTCCCTGCGTATTGCTTTTCGCTCTCGCGCCGGACATCAATATGAGTCTTCTATAAATCACCAAAGACCAACTGCTGTGATTTTTAACGCCAAAATGTTTTATGACATGGTCCATCAAGACTTCAGCGACGTATTTCTGTCGCAGAAATTGCGTAAAAAATATGCGCACAGTCAGAAGACAAAAGTTCTATCAGCAGACGTCGAACCCATGACTTTTCAGTCAGCGACAAGCGATGACAGGCATGCTAACACTGTGCCGTGGGCACAAGCTTTGGGGGCTTTCAAAAGGCACCTTTTATATACACCGCTGTCCTCGCACAGCATTCTTGGTAAAGTGATGTCACGCATTCATGACCGTGACATCCGCGATTAGTTCCTTCGACGTGCCGTTTCTATAAGCGTCCGTGCCATTCGGCACGTTTGTAATAGTAGAAGTGCAATTTCGTCAAAGCCTTAACGCACCCTTAAAAGGCAACCTTTCCGCAAGTGTTGGTGTCGCCCATAGCGTTCATCCATACCAAATATGAACTTGCAACATGGCCACCGGCTTCCCCTTGCCTTAACTTCGCGTTCTGCACTTAAGCTCGCCCCGCGAATAACCAGCGACCACCGAAAGAGAAGACACGATGCGCGTTGCGTTTCCCTCTGGAGCATAGTGAACCAGAATATATATTCCAGTTATTATACCCTGGAGACAGTAGTGTTCAACTCCAACATGCCGCGAGTAGGTGACCTTAGCCCAGATTCGGCGTCCAGTCCGTCACGCTCTTCTCGTTATCGCATCCTTTGTTTTGGTTCAGCTCTTAATGTTAACTACTATACAGCTACCACTAGCATCTATGACCACATGTTTTGCTCATTATGACGGATGTTCACCGTCTGGATGAAGATATATGACTAAGTGACAACGAGATTCAATCCACGTTGAAGCTGTGCTATAGCTGTCAAACACGACATTGTGCAAGCTCTCCTGTCAATGTACAGTGAACATTAATCTGCTTTTAGAAAGGCACGTTATAGCCCCGCCGTGATGGTCAACTGGCTAAGGTACTCGGCAGATGACCCGCGGGTCACGGTATTGAATCCCGGCTGCGGCGGCTGCATTCTAGTTGGAGGCGAAAATGCTGTACGCCCGTGTGCTCAGATTTGGGTGCATGTTAAAGAACCCCAGGTGGTCAAAATTTCCTCAGCCCTCGTCTACGACATCTCTCATAATCATATGGTGGTTTTGAGGCGTTAAACCTCGCATATCAATCAGTAAATCAAGGAAACGTTTTACTTTCGTGTTTTGCTGATTCATATGATAGAGCGGATGAACCATGTCTTTTTTACTATGTGAGAGTAATGGTGCCTCTATGTTCCTGAGACACTCTTGCGCCCGATAGCTGAAATGCTAATCAAATTCAAAAATAAGTTTAGTAAGCAAATAAGTGCATTACCGAACCCAACCAAGCGTATTGTCTACGTAATGGCGCACTATTTGGTATGAACCGCAACTCGTACAGGGCACTCTGTAGTTCCTCCGACGTGGAGTATGAAAACTGAAAGCCGGAACGAGCAGGCTCTCAGTGCAGGGGTGAACGCGATGAGCATCAGCTGACATGTCCGAGTCGGACAGTGTCTCGGAGCTATATCGTACACAGCAGTGAGTCAGACGTATATGTAACTCAATAAACAATTGTATCGAGCCACTCGGTATATGAATCCACGCGCTTCCTACCAAGATAGACGTATATGACTTGGCGATAAATTGTCGGAACTCAGGCGTGCCGTTTAGTTTAGTAACCAGGTGTCCCGCCTGATCGCACTGATGCACTTTTCACGGAGAGCACTGTGACT